AGGGAGACTCAGACCTCTCTACCAGAAGCCCCCCTGGACACCTGACCTTTGGTTACCAAGAGGTTGCACCTCCCAACTCCTGAAATCTCTCCCCAGTGAGAATTGAGCTGTGAATTTCCTGAAGGCAGAGACCAGGCATCTCACCTCAGTGCAGGGCACACAACAGGTGCCAAAACCACACCAGTCACTGCTTATCACCTGGCACAGCTAGTCTCTCAGCCTTCAGGCTGTTGTTTAGTTACTCTCGAGCCACACATAACAGTGATTCACCTGAGGCCAGAGCCACAGGGGGGTTTTACCCCTTTTACCTGAGGAAGGAGACCACTAGGGAGTTTTTGAACTTGGAGTAGGTGCGAGAGTTGAAGCGGTTCATGCCACTAAACCCTTGGCAGGGTGGCCCACCACACAGCATCTCTACATCTCCCTTCTGAGGCAGCCTCTGGCCACGGGAGTTGGTCTCCTCCCCGGCCATGACCAGCTTCAGCAGGACATTACAGTCCTCTGTGAACACTGTGGACCCAGGGTTGTTCAGCCGGAACGCCTGGGCAGCAGGGTCCCACATTTCAATGGCCCACAGTGTTTCGGAGATGCCTGGTGGATAAAAGGACAGAGATGTGCTTTGAAGGCTCCTGAATGAGACTCCTGAGACAGAACTGTGACCAGAGCCAGAAAGGTCTGGTAGGTAGAACCTGCCTGATCCACTTCTACTAGCTGTTTAGAGAGCGAAAACCCGCTGGCATTTACCTGCTTGGTGAAATCCTTCTGACAGGCCCCCACAGCCGGAAAACACATCCAGAGTACGAAGCTTAGGCACTTTGATTTCAGCCTCTGGTTCGCTCGGCTCAGATGCTTGAGACTTTGCCTTGCCTTTCCCTGGAGAAAACCGGCCACAAATTAAATCAAATAGTCAATAGTCCTAACATTCTGTCTTCGAACGTCTTTATTAATTCAAAGTAATCTCGTTTTGAGTTGTTAACAAAGAATGAAGGAGAGACAGTAACTCCCTGGAAACAGATGTCAGAGGCTGTTCTTTTCCGTTACATGACTCATAGGTTATCCTGAGTTATGTAAGACAGGCTTGAAAAGAAACTGATGGAATGAAGACGTACCTTTTCCTTTCCCTTTCCCTTTATTTCTGGGGCTCCGGGCATGGTTTGGAGGATCTTCAAAGTTTTTGCTTTTTGCATTATAGGCCTGAAAAGGAGAGAACTACAATAATCTGGTAGAGAAACACACTGGTTCCCCTCTCTAACAAAGACAATGTAAGAAGTTAATCTGATAAAGATTCACTTAATTTCTCCCTAAATAGGGCCAAAAGCAATTAGCCACCATAAGAGTAATTTGATTTTGCTACACTAGAAACTCATATAAACTCATTCTATTAATATAAATATTTTTATTTGGCCGACACAGAAATCCTGCTACCTGAACCTGGACTGCTCATTCTTAAAATGGGAAATATGTTAAGCATAGGAACAGACTATTGTCTGATTAGGCTACATACTAGCCTGGGGAAACACAGATATACATCATGTTAAGATAACCCAACACATAAAAGCCAAGCTCAAACAATTAAAAGTAATTAGCTTGATCAACCGACTCCTCAGTCCTGTCTGGATAACAGGGCCACCATGCATGACTGTGTGGACCCGGCCCGGAAGCGGACGCCTGGTGGCAGGGACTGGGATCTACCCAGGTACAGGGCCAGGTTGTGTGCCCTGGTGCCGGGTGTGTCTCCCAGGGGAGGGGCTGCTTTCCTTACTTCACAGGAAGGCGCTGGTTGGGCTGGCGGAGGCTGCCTAACAGTCCTTAAATAAACCTGAGTTTCATCAGTTACGTTTTCTACCATTGTAATTTTTTAAAAGCTGGGAGTGTTAAACTCCAGAACAACCTGAATGGTCACAAACATGTACTGCAGAGCACTTTTCTACAACTAAAGCTTTGTAAAACACTGCCCAGGCCCTCACTGCAACTGCTCCCATGCATGGGTTCACACTAGCCTATGAAACGCAAATCCCTACTGCCAAAAACCCTTGCATGTAACTGAACACTGAACATTGAACTGCTTTCTTGGGATCTCGAAACTCCCCTCAGGTAAGCCCAGAGCACCACCTCGAGGAAGTAGAAGCGGTCTGGGCCTCCTGCTGAGTAGTCCTGGACACACTCGGGTAGGTCCTCCCCGTACTCTATGGTGCAGCGGCCCTGCACGGCCTTAAAGTCCACCACGGCCTCCTCGTCACTCCAGTAAAGCAGGTTGATGTCCGCGTGGTGACTTGCTGGGGTGGACTTATGAGTGTTTTCTGGCCTATAAGAGGAAGAGTCTTTTGTTACAGAATTCTCTTTTGCTGAAAGTTTTGTCGTTAGCTGCCACTAAGTCAGCCC